GAGCCACTGGCATTCCTGTTGCTCCAGATACCGTTATTGTGCCCAATACGATTATACCGCCAAATATTGAGGACACACCAATGACACACAGTACAAAACGACCACCTGGTATCCACCGATACCACCTGCAACTAAGGCTCGACCATCTAGACAAATGCCTCCTGCGTCTTCAACCCAATTTCAGCCTAGTAACCATTTGGGGGGTGATACACAGCCATCAGTCACACCAAACGCGACCACACAACCCCCTGTAGTCGCACCAAGCATTTCAAAACCGAAGAAACCCGAGGATGATGCTGTGCCTGATGACTTTGATGATGACGAGCCTGATCCAGATGCAGGTCCATTAGGACACAATGGTCCACCGATACTTCCGCTAGACGGAGATGAACCTTTTAATCCTTCGCCAATGCCTGAGAATGATACGCAACCGGACCCAAGATCAGCAAGAGCCGCAAGAAGAAGAAGAAGAAGAACCAGAAGAAGACACAGATGAAACGATTCCCTATGGTTCTACAGATACCGATGAGACTCTTGACTACAATGATCTTGTTATTGATGATTCCAAATGGTGTTTTCTGTCACAAGAACAGAAGTTGTGCAGTAATACTGCATCATTCTTTGTGCCTCGATTGATTGATGGTTCACCGGTAGCTTTGAGTAGTGTCGAATCTTCCAATTCCGTTGGTATGTCTTATTCCGTTGTTTCGGAGAGACAACGCACCCGATGCCGTAAGACTAGATCTGATATCATTGAAGAATATCATGGCATTAATGATGAAGATAAAGCATTTATGACATTGTATTCCATGACTCCATGACTGACAAATTTTCTTATCTTGTTGGTAAGAAGAGAAAAGAAGCCACTCAGCAAGAGAAGAGGCAACTTGCCAAACAGTTTCTAGATGCCAAAAAGGCTGAGTGCCAATCCTAGATCGATAATGAAGTTTTTGATCTTGTTGACATGAGAAAGACTAAAGTCAGGAATTTTGTAGCCGGAAGATGGGTTCTTACCGTGAAGAAAGACAAAGACGGTAACTTCCAAAAATGTAAGGCTAGATGGGTCCTTAAAAGTTTTCAAGACAAACAGAAGAACACACAGCAGACGGACAGCCCTGCCGCATCCCGTGCAGGCTTCCGATGTGCAACCCAGTTAGCCGCTAATTATAGCTGGGATTTGTATCACATGGACCTTAAGACCGCTTTTCTCCAAGGTGAAGCCTATGATGAGACTCGTGACATCATGTGCCAGATACCGCCCGAATACGGCTACCGCCGTATATCGGTGCTAGGCTTGAGAAACCTGGTTACGGTCTTAATGATGCTCCACGTCGTTGTTTGGCAGATCATTGATAAAGCCTTACTTGACTGTGGACTTGTTCCCACACGCGCGGACCGATGTACATATGTTTTGTATGACAATACTTCCAAAACCAGAAATTATCAACCACCTCGCAGTGTCAACACTGAACAGGTAAGCATCTCTCAAGCAATTGACCATCTTATGGATCCGGTAGCCCGAAACAATGCACAAGGACGCCGACCCTCATGGTTTCATTTGTCTTCATGTCGATGACCTGCTCATGGCAGGCGACAAGGTGTTTGAGTCCAAGGTTTTGTCCAGTCTGCGTAAGAACTTTGCGGTTGGTTCTGAGGACAAGAATGACATCATGTTTGTAGGACAACGCATCAAGTGGAAGACACGGCAAATACGGACCCTACATTTCTGTTGACCAGAAACTTGCTGTCGACCCAGTTGAAGAAGTCAAGATCGATAAGTCCTTGTGAAAGACAATGTTCAATGTAATCCGCAACTTCATACGGCCTATCGATCAGTTCTTGGACAGCTCAACTGGTTACAGAGTAGAACACAGGTTCATATTTGTTACAAGTTTTCGCGTTGTGCCTCAGCCGCTGCTAATCCGAATATCGGAGATGTCAGGGAAATCAACAAAGCTGTGCGCACCCTCAAGAGTCAGTATGTTGATGGCAGATTTTGGCCTCTTAAGGGTTCTCAACGTATCCTTGGCATGCCCGATGCTTCATATCGTGACAACAGCGACAAGTCTAGTCAGCGTGCTCATGTCATTTTCTTAGCCGAAGACCGCAAACTGCCTTCTAAGGGAACATACCGCAATTCCGGTTACGACAAGCAAGCATACCGTCTTAACGGTTCCGAATCAGCAACGCGTGGATCGATCATTGACTATGAAAGTCACAAGATAACAACTACAACACAGTCCACTACTGTTGCCGAATTCAATGCGTTAATGAAATGCTTCGGTACATGTTTGTTTTTGCGAGCATTGTGGGCCGACATAAGCGGCGAAATCGTTCCGATTCACATTAGGACGGACGCGAACAATTTAGTCACAACTGCTCAGACCACACATTTACCTGAACAAAAGGAGGCCCATCATGTAATACAGATGTTGAGACACAAAAGTAACACCGGTCACTTAGACGACTTGAGTCACATCGCAAGTGAATATTGTCTGGCAGACCCACTTACCAAGTCGACCGCAAAACCAGACCAACTAGTGTCGTCAATTACAACCGGCAAACTTGAGAATGTAGACGTACACCCGCCATTCCGGTCGTGACTGAAGCACAAAGCGTTTTTGACTACATGGGTCATTGAAACATTGCCTGAACCACACAATGTGTTGACATTTTTCTGTGAAGACAATTCAGATTATGTGTTTGCCATGATGTACTTCGAGGAGTAAATTTTCGTCTCAAGAAAATTTGTGTCTGCAATCTCTCGGCTCACAGGGTTCGTTAATCATCTAAATCACTTGACACCGACCGTCGACGCTGAACCCTAGCACTGCCGGCACTTCTTGCCTGTGGCAGCTGGATCTTGGTATTGCCTGCGCCTGCCAAGTGCATGCCACCGAAGTTTTCACGACCAGCCAGAACCGATCGGTCCGCGACCGCGGACAGCACTCCTCGTGGTTTCCGCACACCGCGTGGACAGAGACCGCAGCACACTCCTCGAGGCGGACGTTCCGATTTTTCGGACAGACGTCGAGCGGATGATGAGTCTAAAAAGGAAAACCGCACCCGCGGTATTGATGATGCTTTCCATGCAGATCTTGATTCCATTAGAACAAATAGTTTATGTTTTGCCCAATGTATTTTGCAAGTTTTTCGAAAACAATCTGGAGTCAGAAATGAATATGACCATGTCATGACGCCGCCTTAGCAGACTTTTGGCAGGAAAAGGGTCCTCGGCATTTATCATATATTTTTCGCCACTCTAATTTGCTGCACGTGTCAAAGCAGCTCCTTCCTTTCTAAAAAGAGAACAGACAACATCAACCGACACACCTCCTCTCAAAGCACCACCGGTACCGCCTCCGCGGTCTGCAAGGTCACCAAGTAATGATCCACCTGTTGCTTCACGTACCGCCGCCTTGGCGAGAACGTGAGCAGCGCCAGAGTACTGCTCGAGGTCGTGAGCGATCTCAGACCCCGGTTGGGCGCAACATACGAACACGTACCGAATCTCGGTCAAACTGGACTGACAGGAGTCTTCCTGCTGGAGTTCCTGAGCCACCGCCGCCTCCGAGCCGCATGTCGGGATCGCAGTGGCTAAACCAAGCTACCGAGAGCCTCCATCCAGCTCAACTTCGTGGGAACATCTAGCAGAACGCCGCCTTGGCGAGAGCGTGAGCAGCGCCAGAGTACTGCTCGAGGTCGTGAGCGATCTCAGACCCCGGTTGGGCGCAACACACGAACACGTACCGAATCTCGGTCAAACTGGACTGACAGGAGTCTTCCTGCTGGAGTTCCTGAGCCACCGCCGCCTCCGAGCCGCATGTCGGGATCGCAGTGGCTAAACCAAGCTACCGAGAGCCTCCATCCAGCTCAACTTCGTACCGGTATTCCGGTCAATCTGATCAACAACCTTATCATCGTAACAATCCAAGAACTTACAATGTTGAATATGTTCCTATATATCAAGGGCCACAAAATAGATGGATCCGAAAGCATGATGGCCTGGCCAATGGAGATTTGCTTCGGCACGCGCCTGAACAATCAATTTATTCTCACCAGTCTAGCAGTCAGAGAAGAAACAACGAATTGTTCCTGTACGGCTATACCTTTCTTATGTAGGTCCTTCAATTGTCAATGTGCCGAATTTTCGGCCAGACAACAGCTGCCTGCCTGTAGCTTTGATTTTTGTCTTCGGACACGTTTCACAGCAGATCACAAGCTGAGCGCTTCTTGTGAAAAGTAGCTGCATGTTTCGACACGAAGAAAATTTGTGTCTGTTTGTAAATCACTTTTGGGGACGTGTCTACACAATGCATGCATGACAGTTTGCATGTAGTTCATGACATGTTCATATAATTCACTATTTCCACTGCGCCACTTCGCTGGCTCAAGCCTACTGCTTAACCGCGTAGAAAAGGCGTGCAGCTTGCGCTTGTAGACTGCAAGTGTTTTCATAGATTCCAGGGCTCCCTCAAAGCAGGGATAGCTACCTCACCCCCCCTTAAAAGGGGTGGGATAATGAAATATACTATATTAATATATTATTATAATATTAATATACTTATGTATAGTGTAAGAATACTGACGTGTGTCATCGTCATCGTCATCAGCATTATCATCACCGCCTGCATATGTTTTCTCAAGACCTTCATCGACCAAAGTCAAACCCTCACCTTATGTACTTTTTATTGTTTGTTTTCTTCTGCGCGTCTCTGTTTGCAGGTGATCAATGCCACCGCGCGGGACCGATCATGGGGTGGATGACGGCAAAGTCAGCAGTGGAAGAAACAACTGTGATTCACATCCCCCACTTCCAGCTGAAGAAGGGTCACTAGACATGGTATGTGCTGACTCCAAAACTGGGATCCGTCGGCGCTTTCTGGCATCTGACAGACATCACATTGTTCCCTTTGGCCTTTGATGTGATTCAGTTGCCAGGACACACGCAAGCAAGCTGTTGGTGGCAGTCAGGCTGCGCCCCAGCGAATTTGTTCATCATGTCAAGGTATGTCAAGGGCTTGCACACCAGTGGACTCAGCAAGGGCAACCAAGGTTTTTCACTCACAGCATTGTGGCAGGCAGAAGTGCCTGAGAAGAAGAGGTCGGATGCCAAGATAAGTGCAACACATTGTTGATGATTCGCCGGTATCACTGACAGCTATGGGTGCCATGCGAACATGCAGCAAGGTCGAGGGTTGAGAGAAGGAATGAACGAAATTGTTTCTGTGCCCAAACATTCCCAAATTCCCATCCTGGAAGTTGCAGTTCCCATACTTTGATGTGTTGTCTCCCACTTTCTCTCTGCTTGTTTGGCACCAGGAATGGCAATATGGACGAGGACCAATACGCCATCCTCGCACAGCTTGCACGGAGATCTAGGGCAAAACTGCTCAGCTGCAAAGCTGCTGGAGTTCCCCTGCCAGGTGGTGCTGGCCAGCAATACACCTACCGCCTTTGCGCGGGGGAAGGGGCCCACCCCTGCAGTGGTCGGGATGCCAACTGTGGCCCTGGCTCCCTGGCGGTTGACCTCCTTGTGGATCACTTGTGATTCTGGATGATCATCATAGGCATCGGTGAACGGTTGTGGCTTCTGATGGACATCTTCAAGTCTTCATTATTGCGCATAAATCGCATATATGGGGTGTATATAATATGCTAATTGAGGTAGTGAAATGGACATCATTAGCGATGTGTTTCCACGATTTTCCAAACATATCCAGTTTAGAAAGTTCCCACTGTTTGAACTGTTTTCACATCAAATACTTAATTATACTGTATTTGTGAACTTTGCTGTTTCACTCTCGCTCTTTTTGATTTTGCAGGTTGAAACCATCTGCGATATGATGTTGTGCCAGATGGACTTCCTGGGCTGACATCATTTCCCCCATTACCCGCCCCAACGGTCCAATGTTCTGAAGTGGCCAGCTCTGAGGCTGCCAGCAGCTTTTGCCGGGAGCCCTGTTTGCAGATGGAATTCCCAAGACAGGGTGACCTTTGTCTGTTTGCAAGAGACGTGTGATGGCGCAAACACCGATGGAACTGGGATGATGAACGAGTTTGGATTTGCAGGACCGATTTGGGATCTTTGGGGCCCCCGAGTATGGTCCCATCTAGGTTCCAAGTGTCTGAGGTTGTGTTGGGTGGATTGTGTATGATTGTGTTGCACGCCCCCCCCGCACATGTGATGGCGAGGCAGCAATCTGACTCGTATTGCTCGAACGTTGGAACAACTGGCCATGAGGTGCCTCAAGACTTACCAGTTGAGTGAAGAATATAATTCCTGGGATTGACAATTAATTACTGAATTTCGAACATGGCTAGTAATTTGGTATCCAAAATGTACTCTACATCGGTATATCAAATGTTTAACAGTTTAACATATTTGTATTTATTTCATTCTATATCCACTTACTGTAACTATTTTTAGCCCAATATATTAGCAGGTTTGCGTCACCGATGGTCCGTGTGGAGGGCGCAGTCAATCTATACATTTCGTCACTCCACTAATTCTAATATATTTCATATTTCATACTTCCATCTCACTTCCTATATGGTTCTAAGGGTGTCTGAGTCTGACATTGAGCACCTACTCGCTCCATTCCAATATCAGCATGGACCGTATGGAACCATGATGAACCATGAAGCTATGCTCGGCAATTGTGTCCCGCAGAGCCTGCTTGGGTCAAGCCGTTTCCCCGTTGCTTCCTGCTGCCTTTTTGAGGAGCGACGCTAACTTTTCAGGAGTTGCCATGTGTGTTGCAGTGCAGAAGGCATGCGTGTGCAAATATACTGCTGTATATGATTGCCCACATTTCAGTATTATTTCCTGCCAGAAGGCATTTTTTCCATTTGGAGCATGAACACTGCACACACAATACTGACAGGCTGAAATGCATTGGCCGTGCTTGAGCTTTGTGTCCTGAGGCCTTTCGTGTAGTCGCAAAGATGTCGTTCATGCTTCCCCATCTTCACTCTGGCTGGGCTGTGGACCAGGCCATTCTGAGTCACTTGGCTCATATGGGAACTTGCTGGAACTGATGGAAGGACTCAGATGTTGACGATGTGTGCCAATGATGGCACAGCTCCAAAAGCATCACATCCAGAAGTTTGATGAAGTACGCAGGGATTTGCAGGGATGTAACTCTTGGCTCTACCAACAAAAAAAAAAACTTGGCATGGATCAAAGCCTTAATGCATGAATCCACACAATTGGGGGCATCCACCCATAAACTCAGTCAATGAATTTGCGGTTCAATTATATTTAATTTGGGCTGATGATTTCGAATCCTGCGGGTACCCCAGAGTGATAGCCCCTTCTTGTTTTAAACTACTATATACTTCAGATGGTGATGATGGGCTGGGGATTTGGTGTCTGAAGTCCCTGGCCATCAGATTTTTCTTGGTTGATCCACCTTTGTGCAGAGGTGAAGAGGAACGTCTTGTGATCATTCGCTTTGGCCACGATTACGATTCAGAGTGCATGAAGCGCCCTGGCTGAAGCTACTGGGGATTGGAGCGGTTGATGTGGGAGGTTGTTTGGTTACAAATTACGCAGCAAGCATGCCTTCCATTGTTCTAGTCGGTTTGATTTGTTTCAACATTTTCAGCCAGTGGCTGAAGAACTGTTCCAAGACTCACCCCCCAAAGAGGTATCGACAAGGTGAAATAACTGCCCCACAGGATCCACAGGCTGTGCAGGTGTCAAGTTGATTCACTTCCTGCCATGGCATGCTACATCCCACAGGATCCCACAGGGCTTTCCAGGGTGTCATGCTTCACCAGGATGGATGAGATCCTTTACTCCGTGGCAGCGACTTGGTTGAACGAAGTACTCGCATCGAAGAGCACCATCATACCGTGATGGATGGCTGGCATTCGTTAGATTTTTTTACCAGTTAAGCCGACACTGTCCCACAATCCACTCTGGTTTGTAGCTCGTTGTTTTATGGATGATTACCCCAACCGACTTGTATGTTGTGTATTTTTGGGATATTTTTTCGGATTGGGTCCAGCACTCCAATCCTTCACAGGAGAAGATCAAGAGTTTCGCCATCATCTACCTGGTGGACGTGAAAGAAGTGCCCGATTTCAATACGATGTACGAGTCGCTTGGCCTACCATTGGGTGGCGGTGAGCCATGGTGCGAATCCAGACTCAAAGCGATCCGCCATACTTGTTTGTGAAGAAGAGATGTGCCCGGCCGCCACCAAGATGAATCATGAAGACTCATGAATGCATCATGAATACCATCCTCGAATGACAATGGGGATAGAACATAATTAGAGTACCATCAGCATTCCTTTGAGAATGTCAGACTCCCCATGTTCCTTGGTTCGTGAGGTTTCTGCCTTTTCACCCATAGCCATCCACCAAATTTGTCCTTCCCTTTCTGGCGTTGAGCCCAGGCTCTACGATCCTGTGACGGTCATGTTCTTCTTCCGCAACAAGCACATGATGATCGACTTGGGCACAGGTGCTGAGATGACTGAGACACCAGTCTGTTTGTTGGGATTAAAGTTAGATTCTCAAGGCAAAACGACAAGATGGGCGGTGATCAGATCATTTCTACAGAATCTGTAGGGTTTTCTAACATCTAAAAAAAATGTTCTGGGATGGTGGCTGTTCTGATTCGTTGGTCCAGAATCTTGTTAAGCAGAGATGTTTGCTTGGAATTTCGGCAGGAAACAACAACAAGGTGAACTGGGCCATGAATGACAAGCAGGCAGCTTGCGATGTTGCGACCTCGCACTGCAAAGGGAAATATATTTGTTGTGGGAAGGGATAGCTGCGCTTCTCAATTTGGATGTAGCACCAGGTTATGTCCTTGGATGTTGCACCCAAGTGGATACATGATGGAAACAGTGAATCCAATGTTATTATTGACATCTCAAAGTGACAAGGAGTTCATCGACATTGTTGAGACGATCTACCGCGGAGCCCGCAAGGGCAGAGGTCTGGTGATGTCACCCAAGGACAGTTTGGCTTGTCTGGGTTTGCATGTCGATGTGGGTGGGTCAGAGGGGTCAAATCCGCTGCCATGGAGAACAGAAAACCTGCTCCAGCTCATGGGGTTGCTGACCACTGGTTGGGGGTGGTTTGTTTCACGCAGTCAGCCACTTCTACGTAAATTTTGCTCACTGCAAAATGGTGACCATGGTGGAAGCGGGCAGGACTACTGTACGAAGTACCGCTACTAAGTCGCTTGCGGAGGCCGGGCGTTTTTGACATGTCTGATAACTTATATCCAGAATGCCAAAATTCCTTGGGTTGGACTGGTAGTTTCGACCCTAGCGAGGCTCCAGCATGTCATTGAGATCTGTCAGTTCTAATCTTGAAAGATATTGAAAGGCTTTGGAAAGGCCTCCAACGCCTTTCGACCAGTGCAGCAGGAACGTAACAAAGGTTTGCTTTCATATGCTTTCATCATTTGTTTGTGTTTTATGTTTTGGTATGCTTTTGCTATTGATAAATCATATGGTACATCATGAATATGTAAATTCGACTCCAGTTATGACTCTAGTTAGCTTGGCTGGCCACACCAAGATCCCACCAGATCCGGCAGGAACTGGAAGGTTCCACTGCTGAGGGTGGCTGCCGCTGCCCATGGCTGTGGCCATGGGCACTGTGTATTTTTGTGGCTGCTTAAGGTGAAGCCAAAACACTTGTGATATTCTAGGAATATGTGATGATATGTTATGATATGTGATGATATGTGATGATATGTGATGATATGTGATGATATGTGATGATATGTGATGATATGTGATTGCAGCTTGTTTGCTGGTTGCGTGACAATATATACAGCTTGAATCAACTTGACCCTTTCATATTTGGTTAAACCTGATTGAATAATGATTTGGACATATACGCGGATGTGGTTGACCGCCAGTCCAAGATCATTGCTGCACATTGCTCCACAGATCTATGCTCCCATGTGTTTCAACTGTGCGGAATATGTCTTCAAACGTTGCTCCAAGCCACTGGATGTCTAGATTGC